TACAATATTTTTTCACATCATATTTTCAGTAATCTTAGTCAAAATTTTGAATTTCATAAGCATGTGCACAAATTTTGTCTATTATGGATTTTTTATAGACTATATAGACTTTTATATAATTTTTAATAGGCAAATTTAAAGTATTTTCTACTTCATTATTTGTTAGACAAAATTGTTACAGCAATGTTTACAAAATATTTCTTTTGCATTATTTTAGATTCATCACTTTAACAATTTGCCTGATGGAACTTATAATTTTCAATGATTTACAGCAAAATTGAAGGAAATAATAATGAAATTATGGGACTCTGTAAATACAAACAAAAAATCATTTAAATATAAAATATTAGAAACATACATTTAAAATTTTTTCTGATTATCTTGAGATTAAATATCACTCTTGTAACAGAGTTAAAATAATGATTATTAATATATTAATTGCTCTTGCTTCACATTGCAAATTGTTTGTTATAAATGATGAAATGCAAAAATTTAAAATTTAAAAGTAAAATTTTGGAACAATCACCATAAACCCAAATATTAATAGAATTTATGTAATGCTAAGTATGTATAATATTTCTAATAACCTTGTTTATGATTTAGATACACAACAAACCCTTTATCATATCAAGAGTTTCATATTTCTATTGGATTTATCAACAAGATGAATGCTATTCACAAAAGCCCTTTCATGAAATAAAAATGTACTAACACAAGATATCTTTCACATGGTAAAATGTGTGAGTATGTATAAATAAAAAGTATTATATATTAATAAAGTATTATATGATTATAACTCATATATCATCTATGCTTTTTAAACCTGATGGATCATTTGAAAGTTTTAGGAATTTCTACATATTTCTGGGAGATTTTTAGCAATTTTTACACTAAAAAGTTTCCATAAAAGATATCTTTTAAATAGAGAAATGTATAAAGTACATGTATTATTTATAAACTCAGCAAAATGTTGCACCATCACATGATATTTTTTGCTCTAAATTACTTAAGTATAATTTTTATCAGAAGTTACAATGAAGTCTGGAATCTTTGTAATATTTAGCAGAATCTCTACAAATCATTGTATGAGACTTAAAAAACCTTTCTTGGAAACTGAGTAAAAATGGTACATTTATTATTTATAAAATTTACAAAATGTTGTACTATATATAAATATAATAATAAATGTACCATTTTTACTCAGTTTCCAAGAAAGTCTCATACAATGATTTGTAGAGATTCTGCTAAATATTACAAAGATTCCAGACTTTCAGAATATGATATCATATTATGTTATTTTCTATATATCTGCAGTTGCAAGAATTTTGTATAGTAATGGAAGAAACTAAACAAAATCATTTGAAAGTTTTGGAAGAATCTCTGCAAATTATTTGCAGATACTTATAGTTATCATCAAGAATTTTTAAATATTTTTACACTGAAAATTATATGATATCTACAAAACAAAATGCAGGATTTTTCAACAATGCAAAAGCCATTCATAAACATTTCGATAGAAAGATATCTTGAACATAGAAATATAAATTTCAATAGAAGATATTTTTGCATGAGAAACTGTATAAGATACATGTGTTACTTTATAGTATTAGCAAAATGTTGCACAATCATATGATGATTTTTTTATATTTTATAATTTATATCTCTGATGGTTGCAAGTATTTTGTGTAATTTAACTCAAGACAAAACCTAAGCAAAAATATTGAGCAAAAACTCTACAAATCATTGGATGAGACTTAAAGTTAATTTTTCACAATAACAATAAATAGTTACTTTTTAAATAGAGACTTTTTAAGAATTTTATTTGGAATGATATCAACAAAATAAATTACAGAATTTTCAACAATGGGAAAATTATTCATAAACATTTCAATAAAATATATCTATAAATTTCAGCAAAAGATATCTTTTACTCATATATTTGTATAAGGTACATGTACTATTTATAATATCAACAAAATATTTTATTATCATATGATGTTTTTTTACTGTAAATTACTTAAGTACTTTAGTAATTTATATCAGCAGTTTAAATAATTTATAACTGGAAACTAAAGTATTAAGCAAAATTTCTGCAAATTATTGGGTGTGGCTTTAGTTAATTTTTCACAACAAAAATAAGGATTTTTAGACTTTTTAGATTAAAGAAAGGCCTTTTAAGAGTTCTGTTTACATTACATGTGTTTTCAATACAATTTGATAAAAATAATGTAATAAAAAAGTATTCATAAAAGTTGAATAACAATGTACTGTTTCATTACAAATGATAAAATATATTAGGAACATGCATTATTTATAAAATGAACTAAATGTTGTACAATAATATGATGAATTTTATCAAAAATTTATATATATATATATATATATATCTATTAATTTATCTAACAATAACTCTGTTTATTTCTAGAGTGTACAAATGGACTAAAAATATTATAAATTTTCTCTCTACAAAACTACAAAGAGTCCATTTATTTATTATTTTTATACGAACGAAATTCTATCAATCTGGTTTTATTCTAAACTTTTATATCAGAGTGTATATAACTATTGGCATGGAATCGTAGTAAATTTTATCTAGTTTCTCCCTATCTAAGCGAAAAGGGGTGCTTTCATATGATGTTTGTGAGTTATTTGACAAAAACCAAAAAAATGTCCCGAATTTTCTTTTGAATGCTCTTAAAGAATATGAAATATCGAATTCAAAGTCGTTTTAATCCAAATTTTTATTTAATACTGACTACACGGCAACTACATTGGTTTTTGACAGTTTTTAGTACTACTTTATATGAAAAATGCTACATTAACAAAGCCTCGCCATAACATTTACAGCAAAATCGATCTCTGGACCTGCTTCAAAACAATATTTATCCCTGAGATATGTTTTCAAATCTATGTGTTTTCTTTTCATTATTATGTGCATTTTCCCGTTTAAGTTTAACTAACTAATTTAGCAATTAAGTTTCTTCGATTCCGCCGTGAAGTATGAGGCAAGCGTAGTGTGAAAATCAACCTGAAATTCTCTCGTAATCAGCCGTCAGATGGCAAGCCTGCTTTCGGTCAGTCCGAGAAAACCAGTGTTATCGATGTGCAATGACATTCCACAATAAGCATTGTTTTGATTTCGTAAAGATATATTTAATATGTTTGATTAAATTTAAAGATAAGTGTATGATACAGTTCCAAATTGGTGGGATCAAAGATTATTCTACAAGATGTGATTGTACAATTAAAAGAACGGTAAGATAATATTTGTACTATACTTTAGCTTGCATGTTTTTCACAACGACGCATTAAAATCGCGTTCAAAATGCGAACAATAATTACCGTTGAAGTTATTAAGAAATTCGTAAATTTAAATTCGCTACCTGGTTCGTTTAAATAATACTATTTATATTCATAAAAAATGTAGAGCATCAAAAGATATCGTTATTGGAAATTGTAATAAAAAAGCGGGAAATTTAATTACACTGACATCCCGCATACAAAATTTCCGATTTGGATAATTGAGAGAAAACTCAAAATTTTGCAGAAACTAGAAAAAGAGCAAATATTTGAATGCAGATTAATTTTATTAAGATATAGTAATACACAGCATTTTAAGATAATATGCATCCTTTTCGCTGGACGATATCCGGCTAATATTTTTTTTGGTTCATATTTATTATGAAAATGTATTTTATATACAAAATGGACTTCAGCTTAGCAGGTTAGATAATAGTAATTTAATACACTTATATGGAAAATGGACTTTTTAGTGTTTTATCACTTAATTGTGAGAACAAAACACTAAAATTAATGACTTTATAAAGATATTTTCTGAGAAAACTGGCTAAACTTCAAATAAATGTGAGTGACTAACTTGCAATTTAGGAAACTCTATAAAAATAATATATTTTCCTATTGCTTAACGTTAAATGCTTTCTAAATATATAAATTGTTGTTTTCTCTATATATTGAATAGTAATGTTTTTAATTAACGATGAATTTTAATGTTATATTTTAAATTTGGTTATTGTTATAATTATCCTTTTGTTTATTTGCAACATGATAGTCAATTTGTATTACCTTGATATTATTTATGGTGGAAATATATTTACTGGAATATATTTTTGAATATAATTCATTAATAGAGTATATAGAACGGGGAAAACCGTTAAACAAATCTATGAATGATTATCAAAATAGAGACATCATAGAATAAGTATTATTTCTATGATAAGTAAATAGTAATAACTTTTTCTTTATTATTTTTTATTGATATATTATTTTCATATCTCAGTCGGAAGAGGTGCCTAGTATCATACTAGGCACTGTTTTCATAATATCTCATACCAGTGGTATGAGATATTATGAAAACAGTTTTTATATTTTAGATATACATATCATTTGTCTATTTCGTTATACATTAACATAATAATAATCAGTGCTGGATTTACAGTAGGGGCAATCGGGGCTACTGCCCAGGGCGGCAAATTTTGGGGGGCGGCAAAATTTGGATAGTGAGAAAAAAATTCTATACAATATAATCAACTTTTTTAACAACATTTTTTATTTCAAGAAATATAATTAACAAAACATAATACGATTCCAATGCAAAATTTGGGTTGAAATAAACGATAACTAAAATTTATTATTTTGCCTTGCCTCCCTCTCCGAACGTAAATTATGAAATTGGTTTATAAGTTATCAAATTTGGCAATTTGGCTAATATATATATAAGCTAAGTAAACAAGCTGAAAGTTTAAAAAAAATGTTTTTCAGTTCTCGAGCCCTCTTAAGACGACAAATTTGTGCACTTCCGAGCTTATAGCGTCAAAAAAAAATTAAACTAGTGACTCATGGCATAGTGCCTTTAGACAAATTACTGAAACATCCCGTACTGAAAATTACATTCTATAAAGAGCTTTAAATTTTATTGAAAAATGAAAAAAAAGACTTCTAAAACACATTTTTTGAATTTTGAAATTTTTCGAAAATTATGAACTTTTTCCCAAGAAATCGCGCTGCGTAGCTGTTTCAGAGAAGAAATATCGAAACTCAGTTACCATTTTTCGTAATTGCCTGTACCAAAAGCTAATCAGCACGTCTCCCCATCAATACAAATCTAATATTTTATAATTATTCAAATCGATTTCGAGAACACGCATCAACCGATTTATGATTCAATTCCTATTAATAAGGAGACGTGCTGATTAGTTATTGGTCAAGGCAGGTCCAACTGTTTTGAAGATACGGGCCCAAATGGCAAAAATGATTCAGTTTTTGAGAAAAAAGCGTCCAATAACAGTCAAAAAAATTTACAGAATAAATAACTGCTTAAATTTGTGGGGGGCAGGTTTAGCGGTTTCGATGATCCAATAAAGAAAGAAACATTTGGCGGACAAAAGTGATCATAAGGCAAATGCACATTAAATTATCAGATATTTTAAAGATATTATAATAATAAGTATAAATTTTGTTTACATTTATATAAGTTCTGTAACATTGTTTATCCGTTAGACAGCGACGCGGCGCTTACGCGCTTCTATATTTTGTCCCTCGCAGTTGAAGCAGCGCGATTGCTTTAAAAAAAGTTCGAAAGTTTGTAAATTTTCAGGAATGGGGCGGCATTTTTGTCAGTGCCCCGGGGCGCCAAATTTCTAAATCCGGCCCTGATAATAATTATAATTAAAATATCTTTAAATATGTCTTCAATCTTCACAATATTTCTTTATTTTCTTTTTGAAGTTATTGTCAAAATTCACCTCATCTCCTCAAATTTTGCCAAAGAAATGTTACTAATACATGCAATGAGTCTATTATTTGACTATTTTGAGATTATAATATTAATAGTTACAGGTTCGATACCCGCCTAGGACAGCCTGATGCCAAGCATTGGTTATTGGAAATATAGAAAACAATATCTGTCCATGTGAAAATAGCCTTTAAAGGCATTGCTCACATAAAAAGTCATCAGTATCAGAGTTATTCTAATAATAATTTCATAAAAAATGAGGTAGGGTTGAATGGCCATATATAGAGCCACTTCATTAAGAAGTCATCACAACTTCACAACTACCGTATCGAACTACTAGGTTTTGATTGCTTCATGAGAAAAGTCATTGTATATTTTTTACATATTTCTTTATAATCTGGAAGCAAATAATACTTTATTATTTTTGCGATGCCAGTAACGGCATGACGACCTACATTATATACTGCATACCATTTGCACACCTATCAAATACAAAATATTCTCATCTGTTGCTTCACAGCGTATGAGACTCCACTAATAATAATGAATCACAAATTTCTGTGTATTTGTGAGGCCCCCGTAAATGGTTATGGCACGCGAATAGGTCACAGGGTTCGTGAACATTTTAGTCAAATTAAATAAATAATTTATAAAAAAAACTCTAATTAGGTACATACACCATCCCGGCTATTCACTTCAAGTTCTAGTTGTTATTCATTGCTTTGAACAACGTTTATACGATTAACCAATGATTTTTATATTATTGTTATTGTTGGGACAAAAATACATACAGCTATTCGAACATTCAGTTCGAAATAATATTACACCAGTAAAATAACAATGTCATAAGACATATGGCAAAATGATTAAAAGAATAGGTGAGTACTTAACATTTGGAAATAACCAGATCCAGTTTGTTATAAACTCACCAGGTATAAAATGAGCCAAGTTGAGACTACATCACTAGGCAGTCTTCAATCATATTGATTTTAAGCTAAACTTGAGATCATCTGCAAACAAGTGTGAACAATCAATTACTTAAAATATATAATTGAAAATATTAAATAGTAGGGTACCAAGAGAGGATTCCTGATGCACATTCGAACAAACCATTACAAAACTGCACAAAAATCCGTTGAGAAAATCCTAAGTTTGATATTGGGTAAAGTCAATCAGATATAGAAGCTTTTAGATCACGTGGATATAGAGAATGTAATTGCATTTTAATCCATTCTCTACATAAAAGAGTTTCTAATCATGTCCATTCAATATTGAACTAATGATTTTGTTATATAACTGTTATAATTCCGGTTTGCAATGAAACAAATGGTGAGTTTTGGGCAATATGTTAAAGATTATCAACACCTGATAGATTCTTCCTCATAAAAAAATTAGCCGGTACAAAAAAACAACCAAAATGTTGACTAACTCTTCGTCTACCAGTTAGTGTATTTCGTGGTCTCTGGATAATACATGTGCAGAGTTTAAAACAGTTGCGTAGTTGTTCGTCCTGTGTTTGAATGCCAATCGTCTTCGTAAAAGATCCTTCGGCACAATAATTTATAATTGATGAAATTCCTTATTCCATTCAATAATTGTTATTAATTATTTAGTTTATGTTATTTGTGGGTTTCTGATTTTGTGAGTTTAGTGAGGTGTGCATGTATCGTTTTGAATTTTGTCAGTTGGTGTAAAACAGTATAACCATGAAGTTGAGGCAGAGTAGAAGAAGAAAATCTTCGCAGAGTAAGGACATAATAAAAGTTATAATAGAATCTAAATCTATCAATATCAATAAAGAATGATCAATTATATGGCTACTGATTAACAAAATCTACTAAATTATTTTTAATCATAATTAGGTTACAATTATTATAAGAGTAAAAATGATTAGTACTAATCTATTGTTGGCACATTATACTAATAATAATTAAAAGCTACTCAATAGTCCATTTATTTATGCACTGGCAAAATGTGTGCCTAACAACGTCCTTTAGTTTCAAGAACACCTGGTATAATTTCAATTACTTTCATTGTTCTAACATTTATATCAAATATTTACATAGCTATCATTCAAAGGATATCAAGTGTGCTAAAAGGCCGTAATTGTTTCTATGTTTACTTAAGAATACTTAAAATAAATCGTAATTGATGTGATTTTCTTTTGCTGATGGCACCAAGTCTAGAAACAAACAAATTTTATTATTTTTGTAATTATAAAGAATTTATTCTAAAATATTATAAACATAAATCGATTTAATGCACTGTTGAAAAAATGAAAAAATTACAAATTAACATAGCTCGAAATACAATTGATTGCAGACTATTTCCGGATATGCATTGGCATAATAGAGTGTTTCCTTTAGGCTTTTAGAGGCCAATTGATTGATTGTCGGAATATTTGGAATTAATGAAGTATTCTTTCGAAGGCCTTCGATGTGTCAATCAATATGCTAATGAAAAGCCCAACCAGTTGCAAATCCTATTACTTTTATATTTTGATTTATGGTAATAATTAAAATGCAACGGTAATCTTATTTTTTAACTTCCCGAAGGAGAAGTTTATGTTTTCATCAAAAAATCCGATACGCTAATTTTATGTTTTCTCGACGTTTCAAGCCATTCTGAATCGAATGAGACAAAATTTGGAAAAAGTATGTGTGTGTGTGTGAACAGATTTCTTGCCGCAAATCGACGTTTTCTCAAAAACGGCTGGATCGATTTCTAAAATTTAAAAGCCATTCGATGTATCTCGATGAGGACTAGCGTTTCTCAGTCTTGTGCGACGATCGGCCGGGCCGTTTCTTTGTAAATCGTAGAAAAGTGAAAAATTTTTCGTCCACGTTTTAGCTCGCAATTCTGAATCGATTTTGAAAATTCAAAAACCGTTCGAAAGATATTGGTTGGGAATCGTGCTGATTAGTTTTTGGTAAAGATCGGCCGGGTCGTTTTCTTGTAATAAAGTTTAAAAAAAAAAATTCGACGTTTTTTATGATTTTTTTTTTGACGGTAGATACCATAGTCTTGTAGATCATACTAAAATATTATGACCCTACGACAAGTCGTTTAATTTTGAAAAATCCTCAAAGTTTGCAAAAATTGGTATCGTATCTTTGACATTTGACAAAATTAAACCTTTGTTCGACGTTTTCTCAAAAACGCCTGAACTGATTTCATAAATTTAAAAGCCATTTGATGTATCTCGATGAAGATTATCGTTTTCAGTTTTGTGCGACGATCGGCCGAGCCGTTTCTTTGTAGTTTGGAAAAAAGTGTTAAACCTTTCGTTCACATTTAAGCTCATACTACCGAACCGATTTTAAAAAATCAAAAACTGTTCGAAAGATATTAGTTGGGAATGATACTGATTAATTTTAGCTGAAAATCTACCGAACCGTTTTCTTGTAATTAACTGTTGAAAAAAAAATTTAAGCCGTTTTTCATGAAATTTTTTTGGCAATATATATCATGGGCTTATAGAACTTACTGAAATATCACGGCCTTATGACAAGTAGTTTAATTTTGAAAATTAATCAAATATTAAGAAAATGAGTAGTTTTTTTTGACGTTTGTTAAAATTAAAATTAGACGATTTACTTGGTATAACGATAGAGTACTTGGTTTTAATGAACATAGTAAACCATTAAAGTCCAGTGGAAACTGGTTCAATTATAAAAACAGGTGATTTTTGAAAATTTGCTATTAGAAAATACTTCGAGTCATGTGTAATAAATCCACTCGGAATACTTTTAATCACTCAGAAATTAAATTATTTTTTATTAATTAATTCGATTAATTATACATATCGGGAAGTTCATGTAACTTGCCTCAATACTAAATACCAAATCAACTAGTTAATATTTTTGTCATATTTTGGCTGGTGTTATTTAAATCAGCATCCGCATTAGCTTCTAGCATTTAAAGTTATTATATATTTTTCTAATAAATATTTACCTATATCTAATTAAATCGTTTTTTTTTTCAGACGGCGGCAAGATGCTGCATAGCGAAAGTTCCTCGGATGAGTCGTTCAGCATGACGCCTGCATGCGTCACCCTGCAGCAGGGTCTGTTTTCGCAATCGCTTCCCGTGCCTGCTTCATTGCTCTCTTCGCTTCACAGCATCCCTTTCGTCATTTCAAGCGCACTCATAGCTTTAGCCGCAGCTAGAAATACAATAGCAGGGTAAGTCACAAACATTGTAATAATAATACTGTGTTGTGTCCCAGAACACATCATCTAGCTGATAGTATTGATAGCAGTGGCGGATCCAGGGGGTGGGTCACGGGGGTCATGACTCCCCCCCCCCTGAACTTGTCTCAAGAACTAGATACAACAATAATTCAGCAATAAAATTACTTCATAATGATTTTATTTATGTATTTTGTTGCCAAACACATTTTATAACTTCAATACGTAACTTATTACAGAATTGGCAATGAATATTAACATACTCATTGAGAACTATAATTCAATTATGTGACCCCCCTGGAGCCAAAGCTGGATCCGCCACTGATTGATAGTAACTGTCATGAAACAAATTATTCCAAGTAGTTTAGAAATTATGACCTTTCAAGACTTTTGGTGAAGAATTAAGACTATTTGTTGAACTATAAGTCTAAAATTTTCGAAATAAATAAATCTTGAAAGGCCCTTCTATAAAAAATGTCACTAAAGTGAAGTTTTAATCTTAATTTAATTTCAATTTTATTAGTATTTTAAAATGGTATGCTTGACAGTTTCATAATAAAAAATTAAGTAAAAAGAAAAACCAAAAATAAATAATAAAATTTTTTACCATCTGAATAATTTTTACTAATAATTAGTTGAAATGTTTGATGTACTTGCAAGCATTGGCCGTCATTGTGTTATTTTTTGGTTTTTATTTTATCAAGTATTTTACAATTTTACAATCCTGATTCTTGATGGAACTTTCCAACACACTTTAGTACATTTTGAAAGGAGCGACTCTCCTTTCCTCAAAGTAGAATTTTGGAAATTTTTGTTTGCTTTTCTAGAAATATTACTTATGATTAGGGATTCAAGTTTTAAATAAAACAAAATTAATTAAAATTAACCGGAATAACCGAACAAATGGTCAAAGTTCGAGGTTGCACTTAAAAACCTCATAATTTTGAAACTGCATGAAATTTGTTTTGGCTTGACGTTGAATTGTGGGACACCTTATATATATATATATATATATATATATATATATTGTATGATTCTGAATTTGATGTTGACATATGTATTAACAAAGTCTAGTAATCGGGCATAACATCAATAAAAAACATGAATTTCTTTCAAAAATTTATTTTAAATTCATACGTTTCGGCTATAATCCTTGCCTTCATTCAGTGGAAACTAAAAATAAAATTAAAAACTAAAACAATTGAATCGGAATGAAAAGAAAAAATAAAATAGTAAATAGTACTCTTTTCACTCCAATTCAATTGTTTTAGTTTTTAATTTTATTTTTAGTTTCCACTGAATGAAGGTTAGGATTATAGCCGAAACGTATGGATTTATTATATATATATATATATATATATATATACATAAACATATATATATATATATATATAACATATATATATATATATATATATATATATATATAATCCCAGTTTTGCAAGCTTGGGTTCTCGTTATTTTTATTCTTATATAATAAATCTTATAAATAATGAAGATAATTTATTTCACCGAAGACCGTCTGTATTTGCCACTTCAATCTTCACGTCATTTTTCATTTCTCTCTGAATTTCATATTTATACTTGCGTTTTCTTTATGAAAAAATACCTTATGAACTATTATAGTTTATATTTAGAAATAAAATATCAGATAATAATATGTATATAATCAAATTAACCCTTTCGACTCGGATGCCGCCGCTCCGGCGACAAAATTCATATAAATCTCGCAATTTGTGAGAAGAAAGTGTTAATATCGCAATACTTCAAGTACTGTCAGTATTCAATTCTTAAAACTCAATCATATTGATAGATTTTCTAAATATATTTCCTCATAACACAGTTTGAAAATTATTTGTTCAATAAATTCTTGGTTCAAATACGAGAAACCTTGGCAAAGCGGATATATATTGATTTGGCCTTATCTGAATATTTTGTGGAAAACTACTGATAACCAAAAGCTAACATGATATCATTTATTTCTGAATATGAGATTAATTCGACAAATTCACTACCTGTTTCTTGATTCAATTTAAATTTATGGCATAGTTGGCATTGCCTAATCCAATACAGCGGATCTGGTTTTTGTGAGACTACTCATACTTCCTGGGTAATAATTATAATATTTGTAATGTTGTCGGGCTACTTCTAGTGGAGGAAGAATTTTATTTTGCTCTTGATAATTATAAAATTCAATTCAGTTATTTATAAACTTTTATCGCAGTGAAAATTTTTCGAGAATAGTCAAAAATCAAATTAGAATAAAATGTATTGATTTTAATCTAAGTTTTTCAAGTAAACCTATAAATTGATATATATATATATATATATATATATTATATATATATATATTAGGTGTCAAATATCTCCCTTCCGCTTTTTTGCTCTTGGTTTATAATACAAAAAGGCGAAAGGGAGATATTTGACAACCTTATATATGTATGCGTTATACAATTCAACAAATCATACATCCAATCGCAGTGAGAATTTGGAAAATTCTTAGGTCATCCCCAGACAGGTTATTGCATAATCTGATTGAAATCAAGATTTGTAGGGGTTGACCACCTCGCCAAACCTTTTTTATTTTTGGGCTCGATTTTTATCTTTTTACAATGTGTATATAAAAAACATAATAACCCCAAATTATAACACTTTTACCACAAACCCCTATTTTGTAAGAATTATTACAGCAGTTACATCATTTTTCATCTCGATTTCTGTCAGTGAAGTTTTTGACTGAATTTCGATTAAGATTTTTTGAGCTTATGAAAATGCTCAGTTTTACATAAAAAAAATTAATTTCATCAAGGGTTGTCTAACTCTAAAACTCATTTTTCATGTATTACACAACCTCTCATTTTTATTTTTTCTTTTAGAGGCAAGTTTAAAAACTACATGCATGCAACCCTCAATTTTCACCTACCTACAACGCAGTATATTTGCATATTAAAAACTATGTCTATTAGGCAAATTAGTATCGATTAAGATATATATCGATTTCGGTATATGGAAAAATCAGTTTGAAATCAGTTTCACAAATTGAAAGGCCACAAACTTGTCCCCGAAAATGTGAATTCAAGGTTCCCCGTGTTTTGAACGCGATCATATGATAGCGCGTACGCAAGCGACTGCCGGAGTCGTTGACCGTCTGACCGAAACCGTTTTGGCTTATTGTTATTTTTATGACACATTTATGTACATATTGCTCTTGTGTAGTAAATTTCGTATTTGTAGAAATACATTCTCATATTAAACTGAGGAAGTTCAATTTACATATTTGAACGAAATGTAATAGCAGCGATCTAGCGAGATTGGCGACGTTTCCAATTCGCAAGGGCGGAGAAAAACTTGGGCGCTGTCTTTGGAATTGGAGCTACTAAATAAATTTGCAATGGTAACTAATAACGCAATTTGTAATTTCTTTGTACTATATAGAAAATTCAAATAATGATTAGCGAGTGAAATCATGAAAGAGTTAACAAAATAAAAAATACTCCGTTAAATTTACTATAGTTAAATTAGAACAATAACAATCAGACAACAATTTAGATAGTAAATAATATTATCTCCTGCAATATTAATTTTTGCCAGGTGTTATGCGACAATGATAAATAATTTATAATCGTTTGCCAGCTCAATCAAAAGGCTTAAATAAATTTTACATGATAATTTTTTATATGTAATAATTTTTGTATGTAATAATTTGTGAAATCACAAACAAATACATGTCTTACATATACGCAATATAAATATATAGTACTTCTTTATATATTTATATAATATGAGAAAAATTCAGGCGAAAAATTCTTAAAGAAACATTTATTTATATTATTCATATAACAGTTTAGAATTTATATTAATTAATTTCAATGTACTGTATTTACTTAGGCTTCATGCTACGAAGAAATATTTCTCAGTTCAAATACCAAATACAAATTGTAGTTCATTTTAACCTAATTAATATCATTGACGACTAGACAAGTTAGTGGCCCTATGAAAAATTCAATATCCTATAAAATATTTGCACAAGAACTTTTTTTGTTATTGTAATGATAAGTAAAATTGAGGTTTAAAAATCACATATTAACTTATTCAATATTTTATAGCAATTTTTTTATTTTACTTAACTAATAATATTATAAATAAATTTGGCAAAAAAATTTGTTCTGAATCATGGATAAAAATTTTAGTTATTTATTTGCTGGAACAAATATGGAATTATTGAATAGTTATTTAAAATTCTATACATTAAAATCACAAATTTTATTTTAACTATTTTTGCCCTAAAAATATATAACAAACTTAAATTACTTAGTAACTTATTTCAACATATAAAAATAGTCCAATTACAATACGGAAGACATTCTTTTTTAAGATATTTTTTCTGTGATATAACTTCAAGGGTAAAAATCACCATATTTACGATACTTAATTGAACACACTTTTTTATTTCATTAGATTCTAATGAATTTATGAGTTTATAAGCGGTGCAATAACAAATTTTTGGTTAGTTCAGTCATCTTTTTTGAATAAACATTCTTATTGAGAAGATTTATTCACGAGCAATTTTGGGCTTATTTAAAAAAACACTGAATTTTTAACAAACAAGCTATTACATGCTTCAGTGTCGTTGATTTGAATTTTTATTGTTTGTTATTTACTTTAAATATTAGCATGTTATTTTAGTGCTGTTAAATTTAAATCCATACTTGTTATACACAATTATCACCGTAGTTCACTTTCTCACTTCATATGCCTATGAGCTCCAAGGGTTTTGTTACCTTAGTTCATTGCAATTTAGGCAAGTTGATAGTCTTTTTTAAGACATTTAAAGTTGAAAATATCATTTAAATAAAAGATTCATCTTATAATGGATTTATCAGGTTAACTGATGTAGTACACCTACGGCTCCATTTGTTTTTTTCTGAACCGTATCAATAACGGATCCTCCATATTTTACGGTTTGGCTTACGGCTCCTAACATTCGTACCATG